TCTCTCTCTCTCTATCGACACGTCTAAAATGGTTTTTCATTTCCTTTTACGGATCATTGCAATGCACTGCATTCATACATGAATTAGAGCCATTCTCTGCCGGGCCCGGCAATGATAGAAAAAAAGAAACGAAAAAAAGATCAAATGAAATTCTAATGCTAGTGTGTGAAAATTAAAATGATTTTCAGGTGATTTCTTTCGGATGGTTTTTTTTCCGTTTCACTCGAACCTTCTCTCTCTTCGTGTTACGCGCTTGGCTAATTCCATCTTGTACTTTTTCTCGGTGTTGTTGTTCGTTAATTTTCGGTCGATTCGTATTTATTTCGGTCATGGCTGTTTGTACTCACTAAAAAGCGTGTGTAATATTGTGAAATGAAAAGAAAGAGAGAGAGAGAGAGAGATCACTCGCAGAGTAATAATAATACACGGTGTGGATTGCTTTGTATGGCCGGGCATTTGATTCTAATTTTTTTTTTCGTTCCTTCGTTGAACGGTGTGCGAGAGGCTCCCTTATGATTTGTGTAGACACATGAAAATCACGTTATGGATTGATAGCTCAGATTTGAGTTGCGGCCGCCGTAATTGAAATGAATCAAGAAGCATTACGTACGCACAAAAATCGAGTTTGAATCCAAACCGTCGACCAAAACAAGAACACCACGAGTGAGAGAGAAAAAATGCCAAGCGTTAAATTAAGCGAGCATGTATGTGAGTGAGTGAGTGAGTGTGTGTGTGTGAGACGAAGAGTGCTAGTATTTTTGAGTGTGTGACCACAACACGCATAATTACATTCAATGGAGGCCTCCAACAATAACAACGGCATACACGCGGTTGAGCAGAAAAAAAATTACACGAAGTAATAGACGAATCGAACAAAAAAAAATAGTCAGAACAACAACAAAAACAATACACTTACACGAAAATCCAGCGAGACAGATCAACGGCGCGAGAAGAAGAGAAAGAGACGCTGAACCAAAAATTATTTAAATACTTTTTTTTCGTGTATTGTTGTAATAATGATTTGGTTAATTTTTTTTCCCTACGATGCCTGGTTCTTTTTTTTTGTCTACGGTCGGTATGTGATTCGGTCGTTTGAATTACATTTTGATGGCAGAGATTCTACAAGTTTTTTTCTCGGTTTCGTGTGTACAGCACACAGCACACAAATCAGAAAAATGAAATCAGTCAGTGTACATGAACGCCCCGAAATGCTAACCAAATTTGATTGTGCGGTTCAGTTGGTGTTTTTCGGTCGTGTAATAAAGATCGTTGGCGATCTTCACTCCGCGGTCACTTGAACGAAAAAAAAATAACAATTTTTTTCCTGTGAATCATGTGCATTTCAAAAGTGAATCCAAGTTTTAATTCTTTGAAAAGAATTTCGAAAACATTTTCGCAAAGGTGAGACAACTTGTGCGCCTCTCTCTTATCCATGTTTTTTTTTTAAGTTTTCGTTGTTGATTTTTTTTCGTTGTTGATTTTTGGTTCTTCGCAAAAAAACCAGAGAGCAGCAATAAATTAAAAAGTAACACAGAAAACTAAATTTTTCGTACAGGACAAATTAGCATTTAACATATATTTTCTACGAATTTATTACACAATTTGTGTTGTTGTCGACGAATTGAGACAAGTTTGTGGTTTGTACGGTTTGTCTTATCGCGAGCGTGTTTGTGTCTGTGTGTCGAGTAGCGAAAAAAAAATGCAGTTATGATTTATATATTTTCTTCTCTCTCTCTCTCGCTCGGTTTTTTTTCTCGTCATTTCGCTGTTTCCATTACAAATTATTATGTATCGCATTACATGCACAAATACACACACTTCACATTCGTTTGTGTCGCGTTTTACTCCATTTTTCCCATATCCGTTGCTTTCGAATTCGAGTTGTGTCATCTTGTTTAATAATTCGCCTTCGTTTTTTTTCTCTCTGTAATTGCCCACTACAAGTATATTTCAAGCACGACTTCACAAACTATTTTTCTATGCTGATAATTTAACAGCGACAGCATTTCGTAATGCGGCGCTCAGCAGCAACGACAGCAGTGTGTCGCGTTTTTTTAAATCAAGTCAATCAAAATTATTCTAATTGCTGTTTGTTTTTCCAAACACCCGAGACCGAGCCAAAAAAAAAGGGCGACAGACAAACAGACATTAGAGAGAAAGAGCGAAAAAGAGATCAAGTTTTGGAATTGAATATTCGAGTTCTAGTTTCATTTAATCGGAATTCATTTAAGCTATGATATGTGCGCAGCGCTTCGCTGGAAGTATGAACGATGAGCTAGAGAGATTAAAGAGATGCTGCTGTTGCTCTCAATAAATTCAGCGTTTTGTCGAGCTGGTCGTCATTTGTAATGGGAACGGAAATCAAATAAACACATAAAATGCAGATAAAGTAGAAGAAATGGAATGAAAATACGAACGACGAAACAATAATAATAATGTTGAAGCGGTGCGGCTACTTCGAGCGAAATCCAAATTGATCTTCTGTCACGACATCACCATTGCCACAACAACAGCAGCAACAGTGGAAATAAACAAGAAGCCAACGAAACGAATCGCTTTGAATAAATTTTCTTATGATATGATTTCGATTCGAGGGAAAATTTCCATCACGGAATGTGAATTTAATGAAGTCGCCGATTTATCCCGAAAAAAAACACGATCAAACTGAAAAATGAGAGACATATTTTCGAAAATTCGAGATTTCAACACCGTAATCTGACCATAGCCTCCAACACTTTGGAATTGCCTGCTGTTGTGCTCGTCATATTCTTTCATTGCGCAGCTTAATTCGGCTCGGCTCGGTTCAAGTCGAAAATGTCGACGAATCAAATTGTCTTTACCTATAATTACATTCAATTTTTATTTTTGGCTGCGTCAAGTAAAAATTCGTGAATCGAAACGAAGCGGGAACACAACAGGAAAAAAAGACACAAACGAAACAAACCAAGAAATGGAAGGCAAAAATTAGTTTCGTCATGAAATCGACAACCGCAACCGACCAAGTAATGCGTATGTTAAAATCATGAAATAGTCAATCGACAAAAGTCAAGAAGAGGATAGACAAAAGAGCAAACAAATACAAAACTACTTCTGAAACCCACACACAAACAAGCAACAGCCAGGCGAATATCAATTTTTTTTTGTTTCGTTCATTCGTTCATTTGTTCATTTCGATGGCGTGCACAGAGATTTTGCGCGCTGAACTCTCTTCACTTGAAACAAACGTGTTTATATATCCAACGAAAGCACAACGACAGCAATAAAAAAAGAAACTAATGAAGAAAAGGGAACGAACAGAGGTAAAAAAAAACTACCAAAGAAACAGAACACAAAACTGCTCTGCCACACTCGGCACACACACCGTGTGTGTGTATGTGTGACAGGCAACAAAAAGGGGAAAAAATGAAAGAAAACAATCACTGAGCGAGCGAGCGAGAGAGAGAAGAGAGTGCGCGCGCGAAAGAGTTTACAATTCAACAGGTTAACGGAATGTTTTATTTCTTCCCATGCACATAATTCAAATGTGTATTTTGTACTGTTTTCTTTGTTATTTCCGTGTTTCGATCCGTAGCAAACGATCGTATTTTCTTTTCGCTGCTTCTCTTCATTCTCTTGAGCGCTGGCTGACTCCGTTGCCCGTTTGCTTCTCTTCATTATTGTGCACGCGCGTGAATGCCCCGTTTCTTCACCATTCTGTACTGTTTCTGTCGCATTTGGATCATCATTTAAATTCGATTCTCTTCAGAGCCACACGAGTTTATTTCCTTCTCGGGCTGCAACTTAACCTATTACCAATTCTATTGCGACGCTTCGGTCAGTCATTTTTCTCTGTACGCGGATCGCTACTGCTTTTGATCAAAATCTCGATGTATGAAGCGAAAAAAAAACTTATTGTTTGAAATATTCATACGAATTTCTTGTTGCCACTCATTCGCTCGCTGAACGAATTATCATTCTGTATTCAGTTGTTGAAGCATCTGTGCAGAGATCGCGGCGCAAATGTTAAATGCTATTGGGGCAATGGACAAAAAAACGAACTAGCAGCGAGAAAAAGAGAAGAAGAAGATTGTAGCGAAACATTAAGCGTAGCAACGCCAAGCCAAACGAAGCCAAGCCAAGCCAATCGACCAGCAAATGCTATTCTTTGCTGGATTAACACGGCGAAAACAGATTTGTTGTGCTTTGGCTGCTGTTGTTGTTGTTTTTTTCCGTAGTTGAGGATGAGATCACATAGTGAAAATTTTCTTTGTTTCTGCTGGGGATCCATTGGCGTGCTGTGTATATCGCTCCAGCTAACTCGCTCGCTGTTGCCGTTAATTGCGCTCTCTATTTGGGTGTTTGTGTACACGTGTGTGTTTGTATGAGTGAATGTGAATCATCGTGAGCCAAACTGAATGACTTTGCAACAATTTTCTGATGGCGCGTTTTCTTTGTTCGATTCATCGTTTGGGAAATATCTATCTAATGTGCTAGCATATATTCGATAGAGAATGAATGCTTCACTGAGCAATATTTTTAGATGGTCCCGAAATACACAGATAGAAAAGATGAAGAAAAGAAGAAGAAGAAACAACAGAAAAAGAGCAATGCTACGCGCCAGCCAGTATTTTTTTTTCTTTTATCGATCAAAATGTAATTCGATCACGATTCAATTTCAATTTAATCAAACAATGAACAACAGTGCGCTCGCGCGCGCTCACGAGAAACAGCGAGCGTGCGCGCAAAAGAAAGACCAAAAAAATCGAAACGAAACAGACACCATATATAGAGAAAAAAGAGAAAGAAAAATGCTCGAAAAAAATCGACAACAACTTTTTATTATTTCAGTACGTGTTTAATTTGAAGTTCTCGAATTGTGTTGTATTCAATTGTTCGAATGTTCATTGTGTTTGATTTTTCGTTGAGTTGTTATTATTATTATTGTCTTATTCTCTATCTTGTTTTTTTCTCTCTTTCTCTCTCTCTCTCTCTCTCTATCTGATTCCATTGCCTTTCAGCAGTTACTGTATTGGATGAATCCGATGTCGATTCGATTTGTTCAGTTGACTTTTCACCAAAATCAACTCCAATCAATGTACTATCGAAACTTCGAAGCAGCCGTTTGCAGCCAATTGCCGATAGCGTCGATCTTGTCGCACACTATCAACAATCAGCGTTCAATCTCAACACCGGTAGCCAACTAAGCCTATGCGATTCATCGACATCGTCGCTCGACTCGGTTGTTAATGAAATCGAGAAATCAACTGCTAGCCTTCAACTTGGCTTCAACCGCGACGAGCTTAAGCTACAGCTATTGAAACGATGCAAACAAACCGATGTCTTGCCATTTGATGAGATTTATTCAGCGAGGTAAGAACCAATTTTCCAACATGCACAAAGCACAACATATTTTTTTTTCTTTTTAGAAAGTTTAACCTTTTCTAATCGAAACAATCTTCTTCTCTTTTTTTTTCGTCTCGTTTTTTTCTTGGTATTCCATTCGTGTGACATTTAGCGTGTTGAAAAAGTGCCGAAAGATTGGTGAAGGAGTTTTCGGCGAAGTGTTTCTCAATGAAACATCACCGCGATCATCATATGTGTTGAAAATAATACCGATTGAAGGGACCGACGAGATAAATGGTGCACAGCAGAAGCGGTTTGATGAGATTTTGCAGGAGGTAATCATATCGCAGGAGTTGAGTGGATTGCGTCACGTCGACAAGAACCGTACATCCGGTTTTGTTGAAGTGTTAAATGTACGTTTGGTCGAGGGCCGTTATCCAGCCCATTTGCTTGACCTGTGGAACGATTACGATACACGTCAAAACACCGAAAACGATTGCCCGGATGTGTTTGGTGACGATCAACTGTACGTTATATTCGAGCTAGCCAATTGTGGCAGTGATCTTGAGGCGCACGTATTCAAAAATGCTGAACAATCATACTCCGCTTTCAAACAGGTAAGACTGACAAGAAAAAAACACGGTATTCGGTACACCCATTTTTATTTTTCGTCTCACAAAAATTTACCACCTTTTTTTTGCTTGATGTTCTACATTTTTTTGTTCGTTCGTTGTTTTTGTGTCATCAGTTGCTACTATTTATTTGGCAATTTATAATGAATTTTTGTTGTTGGGTTTTTGCGACGGATGAGTGTCAGTTTGGTGCATAATCAATTCAATGTATGACTAGATTTACACTCATCCATTGCGCTAACCATTCATTCGTTTTCTTAATTTGTGTGCGTTGATATTGTTTTCGTGGCAATATTTTATTTGTTTATTTTTTTTTTACTCTGTGTATCGTGTATGGACTTTGTCCGAATCCCATCATTTTTTTTCTTTTTTTAACACATTCTAATTTCAGTTGGTTTAGTTTTATCCTTTTATGATTTTAACGGTTGATGTGTGAAATTCTAGTGCATGTCCCATTTGATTAATACCATGACTAGATTTTCACTCATCTACTGAGAAAATTCTTATTTACCTGCTGCTTGTTTTACACGTCGTTAGTGGATGTTCATCTCATACTACCCTAAGATTGTTTAACTTGTTTTTTTTTTATTTCATTTTTTTCTTCGTTGTTATTGTCATGAAAATGAAACGACAGAGTGGTAAGACTCGGTCACATGAATCAAAAATATTTCATTTTTTTTCTAAATATCAAGTCGATTTTCAAACCGCATCCTTTCATTATTTGTATGCTAATTCCATTTTGTTTACTTTCTTCGGTTATTTGTCTAGGTGGCAATTTCGTTGGCAGTAGCTGAATCAGAGTTTGAGTTTGAACATCGTGACTTGCATTGGGGTAATGTGTTGGTGGCACCAACAACCGAAAAATCGTTGACATTTAATTTGAATGGTAAATCGATTGAAATTCGTACGCATGGTATCAAAGCCACGATCATCGACTACACCCTATCACGTCTTGTGTACAAAAATTGTTGCCTTTACCAAGACCTTGCCGCTGATCCAGAGCTCTTCGATGCCACCGGAGATTATCAATACGATATTTATCGTTTGATGCGCACTCAAACATCCAACAATTGGGCATTCTATGAACCATTCACCAACGTACTCTGGCTTCACTATACCATTGATAAAATGATCGGTGGTGTCAATTATACGGCGAAAAAAGGAGTTAAACATCGTCAAGCCATCGATAAAATGATTGAGTTACGTGACGAATTGTTGGACTATCGAAGCGCTTCTGACTACATTGAAACCAGCTACTGAATCAACACCATTGACGTAATGCAAGAAATGAATCCATTTTATTGTTCAAATTGAAATTACAAGAAAAAAGTTCAGTCAAATGTCTCTAACCTTATATATTTAAACGAAACAAGATAAGATCACGCTCCAGCAAGTAAAAAAAAAAGAAGAAGTAAATTTAACAAAGAGCTCTAAACACAAGAGAAAGAATATATATATTTACAAGTGAACACTTATTTAAACATATTGTAATTCAATTTAATTTATGATTGTGAGAATTTAATTTCTAATTTTTCTTGTTCTGCGATTTATGTTGTAAATGTTTGTTTTTTCATTGAAAATTTCCTTTTGGCTTTGAAATTTTTGCTTTTCTCCCTCTAAAATAAATCATTTGTTTGTTCAATTTTGTGTTTCTTCTTTCTAGTTCACTGTCGACAAAACAAAAAAACCGATAAAGCAAATATATATTTATTGCATCAAATGTTCAGAATTAAGTCAAAAACATGGAACTTATGACACGTTGCAATTGCTGCCGCGCCTTCAGAGAGGTGTACAGCAAATGCATCGCCGAATTTGTTAGAATTATTCAAATTAAATTAACAGTAAAATCAGATTTTAATCCAAATGGTTCTCTTTTTATTAAAGCAAAATCGTTAATAATTAGACTACACAATTGCTGTCTGCATAATCTAATCAAATATATCAACAATGTTATTGACAACACAGTAACAACCAATTCGTTTTCTTTTTGTTCAATTTTTATTTTCAAACAACTTTTGACCAACAGCGGAGACTAATCTTGTATTGCAAGCATTGCTTTAGACCAGGTGATTGTTAATCAGCGGTTGTAAGCAATAAGATAAGGTAATTATTCGATAAAGGTTTTTATGCTAAGATAGCGACCCAATTCATCTAGTAACTCATTGTGAACTCTGTCCAAATTCTCGATATTATGGCCTAATTCTGCTCCAAATGCGCTCATGTCAGTAATTCAATATCTATTCGTTCTATTGGACCTTATTTTTAAGTTTTTTATTCAAACACTTCTGAGCTAGAATGAATAACAGGAACATAACGGGCGGAAAAATTGAACATCTCGATTAAATACTGTCTAACTTGTATGTGTTAAGAACATAGCAACGTTCTGTCCCTTGCAAATGTCAAATTTGTATCAAATGCAGTTTTACATCCATACGATTGCGCTAAAGTATTTGTCGAAGCAGATGTGCATGAGGGTTCATAAACAATTTCCATTCACATACATGAACATGCATACGCACATACATATAAAGGACCATCCGAGTGCATAAAAGTCGTCTGAACATTGTACATGACAAACAACTGCGCACAGTCAGCGAGTGATTGCTGAATTTCAGACTTATCCAAATACCATTTACGACTTTTTTATGCAATTTGGAGATGTTGAATCAACAAACATTCGATATAAAGCAGACAGCGAAATGTATGGAGTGTTTGTTCAATTCAAAGATGCTGTATCTGCTGTAAATGTGGTTAAGCTAGGTCGTATCGTTATGAAACAAAGCGAAGTGAAACCATTTAACAAAAGTCTTCAATAAAAAAACGAATCATGTCCAAATATTAGTGAAATATTACAAGAAGTGAAGATTGAACCATCGTTCCAGCCACCAGTCAATCGACTCACCACACAACATTTTGAACGCTTTAGATAGAGAATGCCTGCGCCTGATATTTGAAAAAATTCATAGTTTCTATGATATGAACTCGATCGCAAAAGTTTGAAAGCGATTCAAGCGATTCAAAAGATCTTCATTGAATTTTATTGACGATTTTTTACGTGAGTTTGGTTCATTAGTTTTATACATAACCATCGATGAGTGCTACTACAAATATATACCAGATCCAACTGATACTCTTCTGAAAATGATCCATAAGTATTGCAAAAATTTGAAAACACTCGATATGAGCGTCGTTAAAAAAAACTACCCTGACCGATATTAATTCACTATTTAAACAATTGATATGGTTGACCATTGATTTGCACCGATTAGAGTTTGAACTGTTTAAAGAAGGTTTAGAACATTGTACTCAACTAGAGACGTTAAAAATTGAGGGCTTCAATTCATCTCAATCAAATTTAGCAGCGATCAATTTGCCAAATTTGTTCGTTTTGGTGGACTGGACTAGACATGATTCATTATCCAAGAAAATATCATTTGACGAATTTTTAGCACATAATCCTCAAATTGAAGAACTGGACATTAACTATTCAATGAACGTCTGCAAAACAATTGCTCACAAACTGCCAAATATTTGAAAGCTGACTTTGTATTGTAGCAACCATAATTTTACTGAAATGGACGCTAAATATTTAAAAGATCTCCAAAATTTAGAGATTGAAATGGTCATTCATATCAATTCCATTACAAATATATTTCCATTGCGAAATATTACCATGTTATATCTTATGATCACTTCTTGTGATAATTTTGATCAAAAAAATTTGATTGAATTAGCGCAAAAATTGCGTGATCTCAAAACCCTTCTTATTACATTTAGTTGTCGTGAAGTCATCACAACGACCCAACTCAAACAAATGCTGCAGCATGCCAATCAGTTATCAAAGCTGACTATATTATGGCCACTTGAACAATTCAACGAGTTTAATGAAGAAGGTTATAATGAAATTTTAGAAGTCATTACGAAGCGTACCAATGGAATAAAATTAACCATTGAAATGGTAAATTCCAAATCCGACACGTAGTTTAATATGGTTTCAGGACACAAACATAAATGTATTCATTTTAATATGGTTCCACGCTATTTGACTGTCAAACAAATTTACCGATATCAATGTGGAGATCGTTACTATCCATCTGTTTGGTCAGCTGTTTGTCAAAATCTATTTATGGTTTTGCCAGACGAATTTTCTCCCGAATGATTGTCCAGTTTTTCTTTCAGCAATGAAAATATGCCCGGTATTTCTAAATAATCTTAAACGTAATATTGTAATTGGTAATTCCCCATTGGTAACACTATGTGTAAGGAAAAATAATAGAGAAATGATGCGTTGTCATCAGTTCATAGGAAATTCAATGAATAGTTCAACAAGCGTTTAAAGACATTAAATAATTCAATCTATTCAAAATAACCAACTGCGATTTTCATTTGTTCTTCGGCTCTAGACTAGGCTCTAGAACAAAGTTAATTTTGTGTATGTGTGTTTTCTTCTCAACTTCTTATTTTTAATTGTGTCTATATGCTTTTACGAATTTTTATGGAATAAAATGAAAATTAATTCATGCAATTTGGTGGATGTTTTAATGAATTGTGGACAAATGGTTAATTGTGTAAGAGAAAATTATTTTAATAAAATAAAATAAATTACACTTTAACTTTATATTGTTCATTTGGTTTGCAGATTTGCTCCTCTTGTGCCATTTCATTCAACGACACAATGATGGCATCATTCGCAGCTTGAATGCATGGCAAAGAGGCATTGTTCATTGGTATATCTAAATTGATACCTTCCATTGTTCTAAAAATCCATGAATGTGTCTTGTTCAATAAGACAACCTTCGTCATCATCGTTACTAGGGGAAAAGACAAAAGCTCCCGCCAATTTATGTCTCATCGCAAATCTCATGTTATTAGCTATGTGTCGAGATGTTTCAAAATGTAGTACGTCACGGCGACGTTTATCGTCTATACCACCTATTACAACTCGACATTTCTCGGCGTCACATAGCATTTCCTCAATTCGTTGCATTCGACGCATTAGACACAAATAGAAGTAAGGCATAAAACTCGACCCATCCGCATATAAAGCTGGGCGAATGAAACACTCCAACTGCTGTTGCATGGTTATCTTCGTTGAAGGTACACTCATTTTAATTAAACCAGTTATGATGCTCTTGTTAGATATATGCATAAGATCAAGATATCTAGACATTTCAAGTAAATGTGGATCTTCTGTATTGAATTGATTGTCTCCTTCGTATGAACCAAATGTTGATGTTAGCAGCAAATTGCTGTAATCAAATATTGTCCGAAACTCTTTCATCAATGACACTAGTGCTTCTTTGTCAGTCTCGTTGTAGCTTTAATGAAAAATAGAACGGAACTAATTTATTTAATTTATTTATAAGAACAAGTCTCTTTGCCTTTTATCGGAATCAAATAAATAACCTCTTACTATCCAAATACAAATCCAATCCATCAAAGTTGTGACGCGAAATATAGTTAAGAGCTGGTCTGATGAATTTACTGCGAGTTTCTGGATGAGTGGTCATTTCAAGGAGCTCAGTAGTGGAATGGATTCCTAAAATGACCTACGAATTTGAAATTAATATTGTTTAGTTTTTCTATTGCAATTCAACAGAAGATGGAAGGTATCATACTTACTTTCAAATGTGGATATTTTTCCCGTTTGTTCAGCCATTTTTGGATGAAGTCATACATATATTCTGTTGTCCAGTTTTGTCCTGAGTTCCATGGCACTTCAAGTCGAAGTAATCAAAGAAGAAGTCAATATTTATTAGGTACAAATATGCAAATTTTATTCAATATTTACTTGAATCGTCTGACGTCGTATACGTTTCGACAATGATGTGTGTGCATAAACTAAGTCCATTATACTTTTCAAATGTGTCTATACGATATAATGCATCAAATTCCATGAATAAGTTAAATCTTTCAAAACATACGACCATAAAGTGCATAAAATACTTCTATAGAACATATACATACATGTATATGGCACAGGGAAAGATCTTCACTATTATCTTCTGATCTGTGGAATCTTTTGATTATCAGTTCCATTTATAGTTTTGCTCATAAACTTTTCATATCTGAAGAGATTTCCAGTTTTTACACCATTTTTTGACAATTTTGGAATGAAATTAGGTTTATGATGCCATTTATTTCGTTTATATTTATTTCATTAAAATCATTAATATAATTACTGCTTGAAATTAGATGATCTAATAGAATAAAGTAACAATGACATAATAGAATAAAGAATGCGTTTCAGATTTTCTTTCAATCTTTCGATAGAATCTTTCGCATTTGCCGTACAGCAGTGACTAATCGTGGGTCGCATCCAGCGCTCACAGCAAGGTAATTATCAGCTGGTGCACGCAGTAACGTGATCATTTGCTGTAGATTCGTGCTGAGTGAATGGCCCAGTTCTTCTAAGACACTGCCCAAATACTCGATATCACAGGCCAATTGCTTTGCTCCGAATGTGCTAATTTCAGCAATTTTTCCAATTCGCTCCACGTACAACGCACAACACTCTTCGGTTACAAGCGACAATAAAATGTCGGCGCTTGCCTCATTTGTGGTACCTACGCGTGCGTATCGTTCATCGCAAAGTTCAAGGGCCGATTTTAGTTGTTGACTTGGTGTTAGCATTAACGGTTCCAAATGTTGTGGTAATGTTAACAAATACTGAAATAAAAGCAAGGTTAAGGTGTTAATTGATGTCTTTCTTAGTAGAAATTTACTGTTCAGTCAACTCATTACTCACTTGACCAATGACTGTGATGAATTCTTGCGGTGCAAAACTATAATCTGGCAAGTCATCGCCATTCAATTCCATATTTTCATCACTCTCAATGTTAGCGGCTTTCAGTTGATTTTCAATGGGTGCGAAAATGGCTGCTAAAGTGGTGTCATGAATGTATTCGCAGATCGGTTTGATTGAATCGAAAACCGACGCAAAAATGCCACCTCGTTGATCGAACGATGAGAGCACCTGCGAATTTTCCACCAACTTCTGGAAATCGTTTAACTCACGCTTGCCAGACGTTTTGTGAGTGGAACAAATATACGCTATTTTTAGGTCGCCTTCGTCGATTTCTTTCTTCTTCTCCTGAACGGATTGCACGATTCTTTGCTCGAATTCGCTGAGCTTCAAACGAAAATCACCAATGTGTTCCAATAATGAGACACAGGTTTGCAACAAATTCCAATCGTGTTCCATGCCTTGAGAGGCATGCAATTGTTGCTGTGCCTTCCTAAACTTTTCCAACACTGACTTTAAGAAATCCTGAAAGAGATTTTATGTGGGAGTTTTGGTCAATTCTTTTTTAAACATTAAAATTGCTTCAAATCTAATTCATGCTTTGAATGACTCAAAGATCCAATCTGAAACGAATTCAAATTAAATTATGCCTACATTCAAAACAATCACAATCGCTGGCAGACCGCAATTTTGTGTGATCACTTGACAACGTTTCAGGGTTTCATCGATCCAGCCAAAAATTTTGCCCGTTGCATTTCCTATGGCTCTAACGCTTTCCGTCGCCGTGGAATGAATTAAATTCAATTCGGACAAATGTGATGAAAGCCATTGCTGTTCAAAACTAGCTGTTTGCCCGATGAATGTGTTGAAGTAATCGAAAATGGCCGATGAAAATGATTTCACCAGTGGTAAGTCAATTTTTTCAGCACCATTTTCAAACGTGTCAATGAATAATCGCCCAAAGTATACATTTGCAGTTGAAATGTCTTGAAGCGTTGTCAATTTGTCATCGTTTCGTTTCAGGCAGCTAATGACGGTGTTTTCACGTGATGGTTGAAGATTCGGAAGCAGTTCGGTGAGAACTGACACCGGTGTGAATTGAGCCGGTCCAAACACGACGGTGCACCATTTCTGCTGCTTTTGATAGTACTGAAATAGATTATCGTAGAATTCTCGCAAGAATGCCGTTGAACTGGAATTTTGGCTCAGTTCCACCGTTTCAGACCATTGCTGCTGTAGAATACGCTTCTGAACTGTCATGTAGTATTGAATCAACTGAGGCAAACGATCCATATTGGTGAAGATTTCAACGTAGTATTTCGATTGTTCGATATCACCGTTGGTGAAACATTGCACTACAGCTGTACTTGCAAGCGCCTCAAGACGATTTTTAAACCCTTCGATCTGTGATTCCCGTTCACTTTGACCCGGCAGTCCAATTTGAGCGATTAGAGACTTTTGCAAGGCTTTCAGCTTCTCACATGCTTTCTTCACATCATTTTGTTCGAAGAGGTCGTCAAGTTCGGTGACTAATTTTCCCCAACCATCGCTCTCTTGAAGACCCTCTTTGGCAATCTGGAATTGGATGAATCATCAAATTTAACATTTTTGGATGAAAAATATGGCCATAAATGGAATGAATGAATGAAATTTCATTGCAACACTGACTTGTAACGTCGTCTTCATTGAATCTAATCGCTCCAAATTCGACATACAAGCACTCGTTTCTTTGTGCACTTGGAAAATATCCTTCTGAATCTCAGCCATTTTCACTTTCAGTTGACATGCTTCAGCTTGTAAATTCTGCAGAAAAACCGGGCGGTTGAATTATTTGGATCATTTTGAATTGATAAACAACTGAATGAGTACAATAAGAGCAATATATGTGATTTGTTCCAACCAACCTGTGCATCGTTCATGATACGTGGCATTGAAGCCAGTACTTGTTGACTGGTTTCTTCTAAAGCCGAATTCACTTGCTGCACATACAGTTGCAACTTTGAAACAAGCGACGAAACGACCACCTAAATGTGTCAATAACAAGTTTAAAATAATCAATTATTGGTCAGATTCATTTCGGAAAGCAATTTGAAATCACTAGATACCTCTTTGTTTTGTTGATCATCCGATTTCTTTAGAGTTCTGTTGATCCAGTCGACAGCGTCGAAATTTTCTTCCGATAGCGCACCGATATCCTGAATTTATAAATCCGACCGTGAACATTGCGTTTAAAAAAGTAACCAGCTTCAATTCTTACCATTTTGTTGAGTTTTTCTCGAGAAAAAATCGAAAAAAGCGATCCAATTCAGTTCATTTATCTGTGTTGTTGTCTACGTTGATTAAACAAACTATTGACAATTCGAGCCGATGACATTCAATTGAGTGACGTATTGAAAAATCCAAATGGGCGCAAATTTGAAATGGTAAACAAGACCACAACTTTCGTTCAACGGTCAAAATCAAACAAATTCGCATAAATTTTCGGCATATTTATTTATTTCAAAATGAAAAACTTGAATAGAAGAATGTTTCAAAACAAGAAAAAGAGAAGTAACTTCAGTTTAGTATTCCGGTGTCCAAAGTTTGAAGGTACGATCGAATGATGAAGTGACAATGTACTGTGAGTTGGGCGATATATCAACGCTCATAATCTTTCCATCGTGGCCTTGGAGTGTTTTTAGTGGTTGCCACGTTTTATTGGACCAGATCTGTAGAAAAAAAAATACAGAAAAAATTGTTAAAAATAAACAAAAATGAACAAAAAAAAGTTTTTTGCCATATAAACAAACAGATTTGTCTATTTCAATGAAAGTGTCAAACTGCGAGAATGTGAACCTAACCTCAAATTCAACATAATTTCGTTGGAATGAGACACAACTGTCAAACGCAACATTCATGAAAAAGAAGTGGCGCACATGTTCATCGATTGTTGCTTATTTTGTTGCGACTTAGTTTTTGTGTTTTTGATGCGTGAAAATTTGCGGTGAAAGTGAAAAATGAACAAAACCAAATTGAAATACGTGAAATACACAAAACAAGAGCTCGATCGATATGTTCGTGATAAAAATTCGTGTATCACACTAACAAATAGTGATATGCATGTCGGCTTTCCACCATGGGGCTTTGCCAACTTTCAAGAAACACTCACAAACATTATATCACGAGATAAAATCGGAAAGTATGATTCAAAGTTGGATGGCATCGTGTTGGAAGTGAGGAATATTAAAGTGTTTGGCTCTGTATATCCGGTGCATGATGACGATCCAATCAATCACATCAATATTAAGGCGAATTTCTACGTATTCCAACCACGAATCGGGGCAATTATCAAAGGTGTCGTAAAACACATCTCACACGGTCATGTTGCGGTCATTATTTATAGAGTGTTTAATGTTTCGATTCGATTCAATCGGGCCGCAGTGCGGTATTCACTGAAAATTAACCAGCCAATCTCGTTTCGAATCAAAAAGTTTGATCTTCATGGTGCGATGCCGTACATTGAGGGTGAATTGATGGAAACGAATAATGCAATCAAATCGGAAACAGTGAAAAAGCATTTGAAATTCGAAGATGACGATGAAAACACAGCGAATGGCGGTGATAGTGGGATTAGTACTGAGGAAACGGAAAAACGTAGCTCAAAGAATGTGAAACGGGAAAAAGGCGAAAGCAGCAGTGATGAGAGCAGCAGTGACAGCGATTCGGAATCAGATGATGACTCCAATGAAAATTTGGTCAACGAATTGTTTGCAAATGTAAGTTCTTTTTGAAAAAACGTCAACCTTTCCAAAATTTCAAAAAGACAACCTTTTTTCTATCCATTCAAATATACTAAATCATTTTCGTGTTTTTCTAGGTGAAAATAAAGCAGGAGAAATTATCTGATACGGAAAATAAGACTGGCTCAAGAAAATCAAACAATGCAAATGAATCCGATGACTCAAGTGATTCAAGTTCGGATGAAGAAGAAGAGAAAATGCATCGTCCGATTCCGATTCCGATTGCGAATATAAAAAAAGAGAAAAAGTCATCGAGCAGCAGCAACAGTAACAGCAACAGCAGTTCTAGCTCAGATTCTGAAAGTAGCGACGATGAAGGTCCAAAAACGCCAATACCTCCTCACAAAATTAAGAAAGAGAAAGATGGCGAAAAGTCAACGACGTCAAATTCAACCACATTCATACCTCGACCAATTAAAGTAGAACCAGAATCCGATGTTGAAGGCAAATCGAAGTTCAAGAAGCCATCGGAAAACTATCGCCGTAGTTTGGATGCGAGTCAAGTGGCGTCAAAGTCACAGAAGCGAAAACGTAATTCAAGCATTAGTGAACATTTGGACTCACTCGTTGGTGATTTGTTGCACTCAACTACGAATTCCGCCAAAAAGAATAAGAAGTCGAAACACAATGAGAGCGTTGACCAAACTTTGGGTGATATATTAACACCGTTTCAATCGCCAGCTATGTCATCAACATTGAAACCAAACTCAAAAGAGAATCGTGCAAAAAATAAGTTGGCAACAAACGAAACTCCGTTGCCATCACCATCGAAAATAAAGCAAGAGCCACAAAGCGAAGACGAAGCCGGCAAACGGAAAAAGAGCAAAAAATCGCTGGACAATAGCAAATCATTAAAATCAATTGAAGATGACTTGTTCAGTAGTTTTCTTAAATGAACATTGCTTTTTCGAGAGGATATTTTCAATTCCATTTGAAGAATAATTGTTAATAAAAATATTTTTATAGAAAATAAAAAGAAAAAACGAAATTGAAATGAATTTGAATTACCTTCACTGTACAGTCGTAACTAGATGTCACCAAGAAATTGCCACCGTCCTTCTGATATTTCACATCTGAGATCAAATTCGTATGCGCTGGAATTGTGTATACGGGTTGGCGACGCCTCAAGTCCCATATCTGTCGGAAGAGAGATCAAAATCATTACTTGTTCAACGACATTGTTTTTTCGATTCTTTGACCATTTTTCGAAATTTTTCTTTCAATTCTCAATTTTTATTCGATATTTGTCATCAAATATTGGAGCATTCCATTCGTACGGCAAGTAAAACATACCTTGCATGAATTATCTCCACTAGCCGTAACAATATGAAAACCGTTCGGTGAGAAATCGACTCCATAAATGGCTCCCAAATGTCCTTCCAAGAACATTATGCATCTGCCTGTACGTAAATCCCAAACCCGACCGAATGAATCAAGACCGCCGGTCACGCAAACACTGCCATCACCTTGGAATGCAATGCTATGAACGCCCCTAAAAAAGTTGATGATAAAAAAATTTTTTTGAAAATAAAAAAAACAAAAATGAAATGAACTTGAAATAGAATTTGTATTACCTCGAATGACCTTCCTGATGCAAAACTTCTTGTTTTTGTTCTAAATCCCACAATCGCCACGAATGGTCATAACAAGTTGTCCCAAGGAATCGGCCAGACGGATGGAAAGCTACACGAGCCACTCGATGCGGCACATGACCGGAGATATCAGCAATCGATTCTTCACTTCCAAAAGACCACAACTTAACAATACCGTCATATCCACTCGATGCCATTGCAACAACATTATCTTCATCTTTGCGACTGCCGGGTCGAAAAGCGATGCCACATGTATACCAACAATGGCCACGCAATGTCAACAATTCCTTGCAATCAGGTACACTCCATAATTTACACAATCCCGACCAGCTTGAAGTCATGAGCAGTGTGGAATCATCATTGAATCTACATTGACTTATCGGCCGTGTATCACCCACTTGACTGCATTCTAAGCTTAACGACTGCAATTTCTTCTGTAGCTCAACCATTCGGCCGGCTTTTGTTGCGCTCGACACCTCCCGTGCCTCTCTCGCCTGTTCCAATCGATCTCTGGCTCGAGGCAGTGAATAATGTGCAATCCAAATACGAGCTGTTCGCAATGCTTCTGGCCCCTCGTGATACCATGTCGTCTCTTGTTCGCGTTGCAATTGCTTGCGCTCCTCTTCTTCAGCCATTTTTTGAGTGATTGCATTTTCACCCAAACTAAAATTGAAAAATCGAAAGAAATTTGGAAATAAATTTCAGAATAAAACGAAGGACACGGAAAAAAAATGTACTCACTTTGCCAGCATCTCTTTCAATCGTTTTCGACGCTCAGCCGGTCCTTCGCCGAACAAACAAATCGGTTCGTTCAGCTGACGCAAGTTTTTCTTCACCTCCACATCATCGGTACTAACGTTGATAAGACGAGCCTTTCGTCGACGTTCAAACTCCTCCAGCAAAGCCGTTTTGTCCTTCGACCTGAAAGAGATTGAATTTGAAACATCACAATTTTACACGTTCAATTATGGAGGCAAAATAGTCTTTGAATGGATAGACTTCAGCAAAATTGGTATTGACTACATACATTTCCGATTCCAAGTCAAAGTATTCATTGGAAATATTGATGTTACCACCAGATGTGGGTGGTGCGATGGTTGAAGTGGCCGCAGTGGCTGCTTTCTTACTATCTGGCTCATAGTCATCTTCGTCCGATTGAATCTCCTCAAGCGTCGGTTGTTTCAGCCACTCATTGTTTTCCAGTGTTCCATAGTGAATGGTTTTTTGTGGTTTCTTATAAGTCACTTCTTCGTCGTCCGACATTTTGAATTCCAAAAAAAAACTCAACGACCGAAACACGAAATAAGAAAATTCCTATTGTTAATTAAACTGAAACTAAAATGAAATCAACAAATAGCATTTGCTTGAATTGATAGTTTGTTTGGATAAACGTATTTCTGTCAAACGATTCAGTCTAACCTCAATGTTGGTGCATTGACAGCCGCGTTCTGAAGCGCGTATTCAGAATTCATGCAGTTTTGTCTATCGGGCAACACAGGCTGGGAAGGTATTATTGTTTTGATTCTAATATGACACATGACAGTTGACATGCTCATGTGTGTATGTGTAAGCGCACGTTGCGGTTGTTGTGCGCAAACTTTTACCGCACATCTCGTGTAAAGCCCAACACAGCACAGTAGCTTTGGAGCGAGTGTACGAGAGGAGATGGAGAGCTAGCGAAAGAGATACGAATGAACGATGATGGGCACTGAGGGGGTATCAAAACATTTGGTAAACAATGAGAGCGAATATACCAAATCTTCCACAGAATCAATGTATCTTCATACCAAATGTGAGGATTTTATTTTTAACCATGCGACAATGTATCCATATACGATGAGTCTGTGCTCGTTTTCTCTCTCTCTCTCTCTCTCTCTCTCTCTCTCTCTCTCTCGTTTATCGGTATTCATGTCGCAGAGAGTGATTGTGCGTGTTGTGAGTGTCGTGGTTTTTTTGTCCTTGCCATTCATTTGGCGCTCTCTTTCGCAGTGTGGCACTGTTCGTTGGAAAATCGAGACTCTAATCAATGGCTGTTTTTTGTTTGTATTTCAACGAGTAGAGTGGCGCGCGCTCACACACACACTCACACAAACGGACATTTTTCGCAGTAACACATACTCACACGCTGCTGCCACTGCTGCTGCTGCTGCTGCTGCTGCTACTTTGAAAAATCGAACCGAAAGGGAAATGTGAATTTTCTCCGTGTGTCACTAATTCAGTGTAATTGTTATCAAACGGTTCGCTATTTCACTCGTTTTGCTCAAAGTCTGTTTCTTCGTCGACGTTTTACCGTGTATGGTATTTGTTTTACCGTTTTCTTCTCAAAATATCTTTTTCCTCAATGAATTAAAATTGTGTTTTTTTTTTCAATTGTCATCGTTGTTCTGTCGTGAAAAGAAAACAGAATAGAAAAGCTTGAGACAGTGTATTATTTATTGTGGTGGAAAAAAGAGTGCTTGTCTTATTTTTCGTGATTATTGATTTTCAAATTTGCTGCAGCCTCGTGTTTGTTTTGTGTTACATTTCGTAGAAGAAGAAAAAGCGTGTATGACATTTGAAAATGAACTTTATAAAATGTGATTTGGTCTATTTTCGATGAAATCGAATTACCGTTAATCGCATTCGTTATGAATTGAATGTGAAAGAATGCTCCGTACGCCTTAATAATGACAGTGCTGTACCCAATGGCCAATGAATCGAAAACGTTCTCACACAAAGACCTCTAGTTTCTGGAGAAATTGCTGTGACTTTACCGAAATACGCATTACAAATCGCGCATCATATTTTTCATAGTTTGAAAACGAGAGTGAATTCAATAGATGAGTTTTTTTCCCACTGATTTCTTCAGCTCGGACTAGCTCGGCTCATTCGTGCGACTGTTGTTGTTGTTGTTTTTCTCTCCCCATCTTCATTTCAATGTGTGTTTACTGGCTCGCTACAATGCCGTACAGAATCTTGTTTGCCGTAATATTATTACACTATTAACCTGTTTATGGCAATTGAAGTGCATAACGAATATACGAATTGATGTGCATTGCATGTAATAAATTTCAACGGGACAACTGCAGTGAAAAATAACTAACAATTTGAGTGCACCAAAAAAAGAGTTGCGAATATTTTAAATCCCATCTTTTATATCCAATGATGATTTCAAGTTTTTTTCTTCCACCTCTTGCACATTTCATTCGACAGATGATTGCCTGATTTTTATCAATAAATGCAAACAAACAAAAGTAAAATCAGTGAATATATCATAAGCTACATCATTTTATATGGTGAGCAATAGTTCGAATCACGTTTCACAGTTCGATAAATTAAGAATCAAATGCACATTAGAGAAAATAAACATTCGTATCTCGTTTACGTTGTTAGTTCATACTAATAATAATGGTCATTGATAAGGTAACATCGGTGTAAAATACTGAAAGAGCCGTCATTAATTAAAACACTCCCGCTTCACGTAATACTATTTGCTTTGTTGCAAAAGTGGACTAATCATGACCGTTTCATTTGACGTGTGTACTATGCAAACACACATGTCGTTCGCAAATTATCTGAATCACATTTTATCAATAGCATTTTTTTTCGCATTCGGATGAGACCAATTCTTGTTGCATGAGACGTTGAACGGAATACTGAGCAATTTGAGTCAAAGTGGTTTGTCACAGACGTGCATCGCAAAAAAAAAAAACACTGAGTTGTGTGCACGGTTTTTATTTAGAATTTGGCATGACCAACTCATGTTTTCAGTGATCAAGTGATGATTGCAATAACCAACACACACAATAGCACACTGAAACAGTTTTGAGGAGAATATTAAAAATAGAAAATTCGTTCAATGCCTGCATTAAATGGCAGTTTTTTGCAAAGCCTATGCACACCAAATAATAAAAGGCCAGTGTTTATTCTGATCAGTTGAAAATATTGTGAGAAATTGTTATTACGTAGATAACAAGGCCAAAGTACACATTAAACTACTGTATTTTCGGCGCGAATGAAATTTTTAACGATTTCAAGTGGATCCAAACATAACATCCGCTGCAGAAGTTATTTTCGAAAAAGCATACATCGAACAAGGAAAAAAAAACTAAATAAAAGCGATAGAAGCAAATAGACCAAATTACATTTTATGCCATTATTTGTGTAAAAATCTGTGCTTGTAAAATTATTTTGCAATTTCAAAATTTATTCAACTTTCTTCTCTTTAACATTCTATAGAATTCGAGCTAAATATGTGGAAAAACAGCGAAAATGATGTGTTTTTGTTGCTGAAAAACTGTATGACAACCATTTGATCGCGGCTGCACGTAGTTTCAGTGAGAGTTCAAAAAGGGAACGAATACCGAATTAAAGGCTAGCGATTACTCCTCCTCCGACACAAAAATTGTGTGTGTGTGTGTTCGTGTTGTGTTGTGAGAAAAGAACAGGCAGCATTGAATTGAATATGGGACTCAGTGTTTCCGAAAATGATGCCATAGAATGTCGGACTAAGCGTATATCGAAAATTTGGTGGGCAAAATTTGCCCTAGTGTTTTTTATCGCCCAATCAAATGCAGTGCATATTGATTTTGACGATGTAGAAACGTCATGGTTGAAAAATGTTGCCGTCGATCTACTGCCAGCAGGTAGTGTTCGTAATCAAACGATGGCATTGCTCACTGTGACTGGCCTAGCCACCAGTGACATCGAAGATGGGGTCCGGATCAAAGCAACACTTTCATCAACCAATTGCATGGGCAACGAAACCGATTTGCAAATCATCAACGAGACACCGTCGAAGAATAGCATCGATTTCAATTCGACCGATTTAATCCTTTCAATTGACCATTTCGACTTTAAACGACAGCCAGCGGCCTATCTCTGCATCAAAACCAAGTACGACCATCGGTTTCAGCACATGGGAATCAGAACTAAATTTCCAAAGTAAGTTGTGTATTTAATTGTGTGTTCTTTTGATTTTCATTCTTCATTGATGAGGAATAAAATATGAAAAAAAAAAATTTCTCCAAGTGAAAATTTGTCATTGTCCGATCAAAAATGATTCCAACCGAAAATTAATCAACTCGAAATGAAAATGATTGTAATGAATGTAAAATAACATGTTGACCATGGTTGCGTCGCAAAACCAGACAAAAATGGAATTGGCAAAATATTCAAATGTGTCTACTACTTGGCCGATTATGACGTGCACTTTCCTACTACACACAACATGTAAAACAAACAGTATCGCTGCGACGATAATTGCTAATTCTGTTCTCTAAGTCCGTTCGGTGTACGACGGCAAAAACACAATGTGTCAAAGCAATATTGAAAAGTATTGTCGCTGTGTCAACCATCTTCATTGCCTTGTATTCAGCGCCACATTGAATTATATGGAACAACACTTGCGCACATTTTTTTAGCAAATTAATGCTACAAATCATTCTAATTCGATTTATCTCTGTCGTCATCGCGTTCACTTTGAATATACTATAAGAGAGACAATGTCATAAAGCATTTACAAAGCGAATCGATGTGGTTTCTTCTCTTTTCTTTTTATCGATATCTGTCATTCATTTCGAGCAATTGAATAAAAATGCGATTAGAGACAAAGTATAATTTTTGTTTGAAAAAAAAGTGAATCCTTGTCTGCTTTGTTCACAGCCAATGGTTTAAATTGATGGTTCCATTCTTGTAGAGCACTGAATCAGCAAAAAAATTATCATTCTCATGTTTCTAGCACACTGTATGAAAAAATATCTCTGTATAAATAGAAGAGTTTCATCTGCTTCAATATTCTATTTCTTTGCGAAATATTTTGTCTTTTAATTTATCGTCATCCGTTTTGGCGCACATACATTTCTGCTTGTAAATAAAAATAAGCAATTCAGCTGAAATACGTGCACATTTCATTCGATTAAAGCAAAAAAAAAGAAGAGAACCAGCAAGAAAAATGAACAGATCTGCGAACCAAGCACGGACATATGTTTATGAAGCGAAAAAAATGTTGTTTTGTTGTTGTGGCGACGATTTCGTGAGAAAGCAACGAAAATATTGGGCAATAGAGAAACACACAGATCTGAATCATATGATCGCCAGTGTATCAAACGAGAGAGAGAGAGAGAGAGAGAGAGAGAGAGAGAGAGAGAGAGAGAGAGTGCGCGGGGACAGGATTGATCTTTTGTGTTCACTTTTTCTGAATAGCCCCATTCAATTCATTACACAATATTCAAATGACGACCATCATTTTCTTTTCATCAGTGCAACCAAAGGCAAAACACACTATATTCTATCCTCGCAATTTCGTTTCATGTATTTAATGACATAATAGCTGGTTTTTGCTCGGAAATTTCGTTTGGCATTCAGTGGCATTTAGTTGTTCTGCTCATTCCACTCACCAGCTGAATAGTTTCTTTCTTTTCGTTGTTGAATTTCGTCCGAGTCCGGTTCGTATTTGATTCGAATGTCGGGCACATAGAGTGGCCACCGGAATAATGTACAGAACGTTAAGCATTAATTTCAGCGAATTTATCTCTATACAGATTCAGCATTATGTTTTCGATTATGCCAAATGGTGTGAATTTAATGACAGCAACAGATAAAAGTGTTTGCGATGAGTGACAAATGCATTCGAATCAAGTTGGCCTTGCGAAGATGTACATTGGTTGAATTGGTCGGTATGTGGGTTGTGTGCCAATTGAAGAATACGACAGTGCAGTGGAAAGAGTCACACAGTGCGTGCTTTAATTGGATTTCTCACATGGTCTTGAAGGAACTAAGAAACAAAAATCACTTTTCCATTTATTTCAGCCCCTTGAAGCTTTGCTAATCAATAGAGATTTTATACGAGACAAGAATTCACTCGGCTAGTATCGTATTGCCATCGTTTGTTTGACATCAAAGAACGGATTACGTTGAACAAATGACCAACTAATCGCCTTAAGTGTATCGCATTCCATTCACATTTATCACTTGATTTTCTTCAATCTAGAAAACCATATATAATTCAAGCGCAGTGTTGATTGGACAAATCACTTGCATTCCGAATGTGATACTTCACATACACACACACAGTCCAGAATGATGAATGCTTGAATTTTTTTTCCGCATTTAATTTGCAACTCAAATTTCGCCACGTTCATGACCGAGTGCAATTATGAATTTATTTCATTAAAGTAGATATGTAAAACAATGCAAGCGATGCAACGGCTTCTAATTAAAAAATTGTCATTTGAACAGCATGCCATTGACTTTCGTTTAATTACAGGTCACGTACAACGTTCGATTAGTGGCAATATTACGCAATTACGTGCGATGGTACATGAACCATAATCTGAAATCGATTTTGTATCAACTGTAATGAACCAATCAACTTGGGTTTTCCTCTGGCTCTTTTTCACTTCGGCCCTTCGCCAATCCATTTCATTTCACAGCGTAACTTGATATTGGGCCAAAGCAATACGCTCATTTCCTGCATTCATCGATTTTTCTTTTTCATTTGCCTGTGCCCGCAATCAAATCAAATTAAAATGGCATCACGTAGGTGCGAAAGTGAAAATACACAACACTAAGTGCAGCCAATTGGTACCAAACGGTTCGAACATCAACCGAAGAAAATTACCAAAATAATGACTTTTGAGCGTTTTATTGAATTTCAAGGTTCAAAGGCAATTTTTAATCATTTTTTCAACAGCACTGATTTTCAATTTGGAAATTTTCTAGATAAAAATGAAAGATTATGTCAACATAATCATCAAACATCTTATAACTCTTGGGTAAACTATGCAATAAAATAGAAGCTATTAAACATGAAGATACTCTTTGAGTAGAACGCAATTTAGTCAAAAAATTGCGTTTTTCTCAAACAACATCATTTTTGCTCCGTGGGTATTCCCTAGACATTTTTACCTATTAAAGCCGCCTACGGCCCACATCTTCGGACCATTAATGTAACGAATATTTTTCTAGACATCATATTACTCTGCCCACTGCAAAAATTAACGATTAGAATATTCGAATCACTCTCATCCTTCACCGCATCATTTCTTGCTCGAAACAAACTCATTCAGTGCTTTTTTTTTATTCGTATGACGTGTACTTGGCAACCGAAATGACGGTTAAAAGACATTAATTTGGAAGCCACGTCGAAAATTTTTTACATAGCAATAGAAGCCAGTCAAATCGATAGAGTCGACTTATCAATAGGTTGCAAAAAAAACATTGAAGAAGAGTTAGAAGAAGTCGGCCGAAGAATAGAAAAAAAAAACATTTACAGGTTAATACCAACGTAGCATATTGCAAATCAGTTCTTGAATGAAGAGGAAAAGTCGATAAAAAGAGAGCGAGTGAGCGAGAGAAAGGGAGAGACTGAGCTAGGGCGAAAAAGTGTATTCAGAAATAGCAGGCCATAAGGCGGAATCTTGATGTATACCCACGCCGAAGGAAATAAATGCTAATTGGCATTTAAATTGCTTTTCGTTGAATCTGTGCTGCTTGAAAATAATAAATCCATTTCGCTAATTGAATATCATGATAATGGATGAACATGAATCGGTATTGCATTTCATGCTCACGATACGGTGTTATATAATAGACATCGTTTCAAAATCGTCCGTTTCTAATTTTGCTAATGCATTACATTTTTATTTTCCATTCCAAAGAAAATGCAATGAAAACGCGCGTTCAATCGCTATGAGTGTACTTCGGGGGAAATCCGTTTTCAGAATGTACAGAGAATAATTATCGAAATTAAAGTCTCGTTATACAAGCCAATTTAATCTAAATCCATTAATCATAGCACCTGCGTGCAAAAGAAAGTCATGGAATAAAAATGCTTTCCCTTAAAAATCTTGTAAATTTTACAACTTAAAGCTTCCTATTTTGGCTGTGGCATGGTTTCAATCCTCTCTCTGGCCGAAGTTGATTCTTAACTTTAACACTAGGATACATTTCATGTTGAAAATTAATTACATCCCATTTCAATCAGCTGTTTGGTGTGTCAGCGAATCTTTTCTCCGCTATATACGACGGCGATGACGAAGAAAAAAAGAATGTATTCACGCAAAATAATTTCCATTATTTATTAGTGAGTGACGGACGGAAGGTAGTAATGCTATTACAGTAAAAGTAATTTGAATAAGCTTATTGCGTGCGTTCAATGGATTTAATTATGACATTTTTATTAATAAACACAAACTAGAACATTAAACTTAGCGTATTTATTATTATAGCCATAGTAGAAATGGTGTTTCCTCATTCACGTCGCCACATCAATGAATGTTGTATGATGAGTGAAAATATGAACACTAGAATATTGCCAAAGTGCATTCGATTGGTTCAACGAACGCAATGGTAAACAGTTTCGTCGACGAGCAAGAATATTGCGATGTTTAAAGTCACGTGTGCATCCTGACTCACAATTACATTTCATATTTCCAGAGCTCAATTACGTGGCCGGAAAACGGCGTCGGTATCAACGTGTTGTTTACAAACTATAGTTGTGCTAGCTTGTCTGCCGTAGACATAACTCTCACCCGAATCAACGTCTGGCTGTCTTGATGCACCACTCTTATACACATAAGACTGTTTGTATCATTCAAGAATTCTCGGTATCATTTCATTCAAGAATTTCGCATGTACTTGTCGTTGAGTCGCGGTTAATAAGACTGTTGTTGTGCTGTTCATGGAAGTGCACATTGTTTTCGATGAAGCGATGCAAGTATTCTACAGTGACATTGAATCCACGAGCGAGTTCCGTCGCCCCCGTGAATCACGTGAAAGAACTCATTCAAAAGAATTTAATTTGAATTTTCAAAAACTTTCTACTGAGTCAGAGGTAAACAAACTGGAAAACGCACATAACAAAGGAAAAGTGTTCATGTTATAACGAAACCTTCGACGAAATCAAGTGTGAGAAAAACATTCGATGGGCCAAGAATTTTTTTTTTTTTTTTTTGGTACACAACAGATTTTTTTACGGTCGTGAAAGATTTATTGAAATGAAGAAAAGAAGAAGAAAAATGGAATTCTAGAAAAAAAAATGGAACTTTTCGAAATTTAATTGATTTCGTGAGTACTCGACTCGATTGCCGCAAATATTTTACGTCGAATATTTAAACAGCTTTTGTTCGGCTTGTGCAATGTTCACATTCATAAAGTATCGATCAACGTAAGATAAAGAAACATGCTAATTATAATTGCTATATCGTTTGGTCAATGGCTTTTCATTGGGTATTCAACATGGAATTCCGACAGCCTTTAATTAGACAACAATTTCTGGATAAAACAGAACACGCACACATATGAGCCTACCATAATATTTCACATGCTCAAACGTAAATTCGACCGTTATAATTCCTCCATTTATACAATATTCATACAAACACACAAGTGATTCGCGTGAGAAATGCATGTTAACATGCGAAATTCCATATGCGAACGATTTGAAACTGAGCACGTTTCGTCGGCCAGTCAATGAAAAAGTTGTGTCATTGCGACTTGCCGGTGCGCCTATGAGAAAATAATTACATTCTCACACACCCAACCACAGAAAACAGATTAAACTGATACGATAACGATGTGTGTAATTTACGCATATATGCAAAAAAAGAACTGGTTGGTATTTCATTTTCAAGTGGTGTTTTCTTAGCATTGATCTGAACGTGACAAAATGGGTGATAATGACGAATAAAGAATATTCCACATTGATATCAAGATGCCAATAGCCGAGATTGAGTTTATTATTAATTAGGGTAATTTCCATTGTAATAATTACAGCATATTGAGTGTGAATCAATTTAATCGAGATCGTCGCAATCAGCCCGTTGTGCCAACCACTGTAAGGAGTGACAATAAATGTCGTACGGGTGAAATTCGAATCGATGGTATGCGCATTGAATCGGCCGATAAAACCATTGAATATGATGATGAAAATATTCCGGAGCTAATCACACGGACTCATGTACGTATACGACTATTCGGTTGCGGCTTCACTGATCAAACTGTCATCGCATTTACAAAAGAAATGAACGACCGCAGCGGAGCCTGTCTATTGCCCGGTTCAGGCCAATTCAAAGTGGAAAGTTATGGTTTACTAGAGTATACGGCAGTTGTTGATATTGTTGTACCGATTGCTGAACCAACGCCGTACTACTTTTGTGTGAAGAATGTGGAGGATTCAATGGAAGAAAAGGTACCTGAAACAAATGACTTTTTTCCCACGGGTTCATTCTTATTAACAGTCGTTTATATTGATAAAATCTTTTCATTAATAAATCATTTTTCAATTTCATAATCAGAAAATCGATCGGGCATTACCATTCATTCATCAAGGAGTTGAGCCATGGCTATCAATTCGAGCCACTGAATTGATATTACCTTTATGGGTGGCAATCATTATAATCGTTTGTTGCTTGTGTTTTTCGGCTTTGTTCTCCGGTCTCAATTTGGGCTTGATGTCATTAGACCGAACGGAACTGAAGGTAACATATATAAAGAACAAAAAAAAAACATAAAATAGAGTTCTCCATACGTAAGAAAGGAAAAAAAATTATTATTTATAATAATGTCATATTATACTGTTTACGGTTATTTCTTCCCCCATTGATATTTGTTATTCGTATAGATTTTGCGGAATACGGGAGATGAAAAGGAGCGTAAATATGCGGCAAAAATTCAACCAGTGCGAGACCACGGCAATTTTCTTCTGTGCAGCATTCTATTGGGCAATGTGTTGGTGAACTCTACGTTTACCATTTTATTGGATGGCCTAACATCGGGCTTAATAGCTGTGATAAGTTCGACACTGTTGGTATGAAAAATACAAGTTAAGCTAATGTCACTGGAATAAACATTTTTATGTTTTTTTATTCGATTTTTAGATTGTGGTATTTGGGGAAATAACGCCACAGGTTGGTATACACAAGCAAAACAGAAAGACAAATAAAAAAACTCAACCAATTATATTGCCGTGAACTTTCGCCAAAGATAAATCGCATTTATGACTGGTTGACCTACAATTTATGTTTAATAGGCCAAAGAAGCATTTTTCGTGAAATTCAATACGCACATGTATTATGTTTTGCAGGCAATTTGTTCACGACATGGCTTGGCGGTTGGCGCAAAGACTATTGTTATTACGAAAGCAATTATGGTTTTAACATTTCCGTTGGCTTATCCCGTATCGAAAATTTTGGACGTTCTACTCGGCGAAGAAATTGGCAATGTGTACAATAGGGATCGGCTCAAGGAATTGGTTCGGGTAAGTGAATTTTTGGACCATTCGAACGCTTCTACGCAATTAGAATCGATAGGAAACAAAAACAAGCTAGTTAAAAATTTGGGCAGCGTGTCAATGAAGTGGAAAACTCCACAACGAAAAAGAAAAGTCGACAGTGAAGAAAAGAAAAACAAACAGAATCAAATTGTTGCGTTTTAAACCAAAATTATGTGTTGGATCCAAATTATATCGATAATGACAGCCATGTGAAACTGGCAAGTGGTTTGACCTATAAACAAGGTGGTTGTTTTGAAGAGAACATTCATTGATTTACTTATGCGTTATTCATACACGTGAATGATTTTCCATTGGAATTCCATCTTTCCATTTATTATATTTGAATCGCTCTACATTTTGTATGATGAAAGCACGCAATATTCTAGCAACAGTTTCGATTTAACAACCATTTCCATTCGCTATAACGAATTTCACGTTGAGTCGGTTTCGGAAAAAACACAAGAAAATCACGAGTCACTCAATCACTGGCAAACAACTCCATCTCTCTTGGTTCTTCTTGCTTTCACTAAAAATAGTGACAGCACATTTATGACAATCACTTTCAAAGCATTCATTCGTTTAATCGATAAAATGGTGCTTCCCACTTTGCGTTCGCCCCATTGTTTGTTGTTCAGTTTTACAATGGGATATATTGCGGTGGATGCGTTGCTCATATTTTATGTCAAGGGAAAATTTTCATAGAAGCTTTTGGATTCGTTATTATTTCTCAAGTTTGCACAAGTTATATTGATTTAGCAACACAATCTAAGTGAATCGATTCAATTTTTTGCCAAAGAAAATCCATTTCTAAAACAACCATTTTCCACTTACACACAACAATCAATCCTCCATCTACGTCAGCGAAGTTTTTCTTTGATTGATATCAAAGCATGAGATACACGCAAATCTAAGCAGATGTATCCTGCGGAACGACCGAATTTGTATGTGTTTATGTATCGGAGCCGAATTGCCACAACGTTGAAATGTTCACGTAGAGATAACGATAGCTTTGGCTATGGCTATGGCTCTCTGTACTCCATGCGATGATTATCGCTGTGATAAATTGAATCAGAGTGTTTGTTGAGACACACAAAGTAGCCAGCTTTAGAACAAATATATTATCAGCCAATGGAAACAGAGCCAGTTGATCGTCTTATCTGTTTTATGTGCAATCATTGTACACTTAAAAACAGATTTAAGACAGCTCATACAAAAGTAAAACAATAAGATGATAGCGCATAAAAATTGCCTTTTTTGGCCTGTTAAAATTGTTGTTTTTTTTCTTCTAAATTTGGATTTGCTTAATTTTGTAGGTTACAAACGATGTGAACGATTTAGACAAAGATGAAGTCAATATTATATCAGGTGCATTGGAATTGCGAAAGAAAACGGTGCTCCAGGTGATGACGCATTTGGAAGACGCGTTCATGCTGTCAATTGATGCGATTCTAGACTTTGAAACGGTGTCGGAGATTATGAAATCGGGCTTCTCACGAATTCCCGTTTACGAAGGTGAACGGCATAATGTACAAAAATTATTGTTTATCAAAGACTTGGCACTAATCGATCCGGATGACAATACACCACTGCGAACGCTGTGCGAATTCTATCAAAATCCATGCTTCTATGTGTTTGAGGATGTAACATTAGATGTGATATTCAAGAAATTCAAGGGCGGCCAACAAGGTCATATGGCATTTGTGCAGCGTGTCAATAACGAAGGTGACGGAGATCCATACTATGAAACTATCGGTTTGGTCACACTGGAAGATGTGATTGAGGAGATGATTCAAGCGGAAATTGTCGATGAAACGGATGTGTACACGGATAATCGAAACAAAAAGAAACGCAAGCTCATGAGTCGAAAGCATGATTTTACCATGTTTGCTGCCGAACGACGTGACATTCAACGCATTCACATATCACCGCAACTAACACTAGCCACCTTTCAATATCTCAGCACAAGTAAGCAAATCAGTTTGCTTGTTATGCAGATGAAGATGATAATAATTTCCATTCGATTATATAATAATGAAAATGACATTTATATTCTGCAGCCATCGACGCCTTCAAGCCGGACAGTGTGTCGGAGACGATACTACGTCGATTGCTGAGTCAAGACGTTGTTCATCACATTAAGATAAAGGCCAAAGAGAAGAGTAATCAATCGTTGTTGATCTACGAGGAAGGTAAAGCGGCCGATTACTTTGTATTGATTTTAGAAGGTCGAGTTGAAGTGACTGTTGGACAGGAGCATTTGATGTTTGAGTGCGGCCCATTCACATACTTCGGAACACAAGCCTTAGTACAAGCGGTTGGCGTTGGTAAGAGATAGTGTTTTCTGAAGAATGTGATGGATTTGCATTGAATTTCATTGTGATTTCCAGCTGAATCACCGCAGCAACAGATTAGGGGATCATTAACATCGGTCAACTTGGATGCCGTTATGCATCAAACTTTTACTCCTGATTACTCGGTGCGAGCGGTTACCGATGTATTTTATGTAGCCATCAAGCGTACACTTTATTTGGCCGCCAAACGAGCAACACTCATGGAAAGATCCAAGCGATTCGGAAGCGAAATGGGCAGCAACGAACCATTCGATTTAGAAGTTGAGAAGGTAATTTTTTATTTTTTAAGTCAATTGTTTCACTTTTCCCAATTTTGACCTTGAAATCCTTGAAAAGACCTCGAAATTGTTCTGAATTGAAATTTAATGAATTTTATTCTTTTTTTCATCAGCTTCTGCATTCACTTGATGAAGATGAGCGAAGTGTGAGCGCTCACACAGCCAATTTGACTGCATTGAGTCCACGTGCCAGTAAATCAACGTCTCCAACAGCAGCTAATGTGGTGTGTTTTACTTTAAATTTCTTTTATACTTGAACTCATGTAATTACTGATACACTTTTCAATGATTTTCGATTTTACAACAGGAACGCACATCAAATGGGCCTACATCATTAACTGAAAATCACGATTCATCGCTGGCTGTATCGTTTGTTCCCGAAAATCAATCAATTCAATTTCATACACCCGAAAAGGAATCACGAGAAACCGATGCACTTTTAGCCACACGAAGTTAAATAATTTGCGCTTAAAATAATACCTGTTATCCTATTGCTATTAAGAATGGGTAAAACCCCCCGAACCTCATCATCCAATGAACCCAAAGAAAAGGCACCGCATTGAGCTTCGCACTTAATTTGTACAACGAAATGCGAGACACAAGCTCAAATGGCGAGCGTCTTGGCATTATGCAAATCCACGATAAAATCGTAAACCATATATAGTTTGTAATATTGGTGCCAAACAAACCTCTCCGCGGCCTCCACTCATATATGCGAATGGAAAAGGTGATCGATCCTTATCCATAGTCAATTGTTATATTTATTTATTGTTTTTTTCTTTTGTTTAAATTGTGCGTACTTAATTTTCTTTAGTTTATTAAAAGAACAAATCAGTATAAATTACGAAGGTGAAACCATACATTTATTGAATCGAACATAATATATTGTTACCTATTATATACATATTTGCAAAGTCATGAAGAAAAGTTGTATTTATAGCGCATAGATAAGAATCCAGTTATATGTATATTCAAAAAGGATTCATGATTTATTATGCTAATCTGATTCTTTCTCCTTTTGTTTTCTCTCCTTCGTTTTGTTGAAGTGTTTTAGACTTTAATTTTTCAACGTCTTTGTACATAATTTAATGTAGAAAAGATCTATCTATGAACTTTCTTATAAAAACAACCAAATCTATTATGATTCCCCTGATCCAAGAGACAATGATGAAATGAATAGAATCGATAGAGATCCCCCTTGACAAATAATTAGCTGTTAATCTAGACATTTAGATGACAATTCCAATGTTGCATGTAAAATGTATGAAAGAAAAAGAAGTTAATATGCATAGAATGGAACAAAATACACGTACAAATTATTCTGTCAACTCAAATTGCTGTGTCTTTTATTCGATGTTTCATTTTTTTATTCTTCCATAGCAACTCATGCTAAAGATGGCACTGCAACTTGGCAATTGAACGGATAAAAGCCATATCATTAAAAAAAAAAACAAGATAAAAAAATCATGTTTGACATTATGCAATGTTTATTTTTAAAAAAATCTCCTTGAACATGGTAGCAAATTTAATTAAGTTAAATTTGTTATTGCATCATTTCATTTCGAAGAATCGAACAAATTATCCTACAAATCCTTATGCAGCAAACGTTGTTTTTTATTGATTTTTTTCTATTTTAATTGACAAATTTTAGTCTTTGTTAGTGTTTACGATGCAGAATTTTGGAAATCTTTCCGCTATGACGAATACATTTGCCGTGCAAATATTCGTCGAATAATTTCTCCATATTTTCATATTGTGTTGTTGTTTTAGTGTCATCCTCAGCACCATATTTGTGCAATTGATTGACCGGCCTGTGAGTGGAATTTGGAATTGATTTAGTTGAATTATTTAATTGTGTGGCAAACATTTTGATAGTAGAGCAATCAATGACCATTAACAATCATCAATCATTATTTGAAACTTACCTTACCGCAGAGCTACTGACAGCAATGTTTCACCGCGTCTGTTTTTAACATTAACGTCTGCATTGTGTTTCAACAAATCTTCGAATATGTCATCACGGTCTGAAATTAATAATTGAATGATTTAAATTGACTTTTTTTTTGTTTCAAAATAAAAGAAGAGACTTACATTTTTCAACTGCAATGAAAATGGGTGTTTTTCCATCCTTATTTTTGAGATTAACATTTGCATCGTTTTTGAGCAATGCCGTCACGATACTGGAGTGACCTAAATTGGGAAAGAAAGAATTGTTTTATTAATTACACATTCTTAGCATTGACGTGAGTCACGTTTTATTCGATATGCATTTTTATAAGCTACAATTAAATCAACATTTTTACCTTTCTGCGCGGCAATGTGAAGTGCGGTGTCACCATTCATATTTTGCAAGTTAACATCGGAACTGTGTTTCATTAGTTCGTCAACAACTTTAGCTCGGCCTATTTGAATAAGGAATGCGTTGTTTTTCAGTAACTCATCTACGATTTTTCCATGGCCTGATCAAAAAAAAATTATTTTAGTTTAGAAAAACTAATATTTCGTTGAAGACCGATGAACAAACACGAGATAACTTACCGTTTGCAGCTGCGTAGTGAATAACCGTATTTGATTCAATGTTCTTCAAGTTGATCTCAGCATCGTTCTTGATCAATTCCATGGCAATTTCCTTTGTACCTGTCACGACAAAAAAGATGTCGGTTTAGAAAATCCTTTGAAACACTCTTAAAATTTTTTGTGCCTTAACAATTCTCAACTGCTCTGAAAAGTACCGTTTCCTTATCATTATTTTTAATGTTCACATTAATTTCGTCCACTTTCAATAGCTCTCTGAAAATCTCTCCTTGGCATCCATCAACAGCATAGAAGAGTGGCGTATCACCATTACTATTCTGTACATTCACATTTGCATAGCGCAACAGTTTGCGTACAATTTTCTTATAACCTAATTGAAAAAATAGAGAAAAATGTGCATCATTATTGAATGAGATATGAAAAATGGAAATAATCGATCATTTAAAGTAAAATTTCATAAAGGTAGAACAAAAGGTATACCTTTTTCGACAGCAATATGTAATGCAGTATCTCCGTCTTTATTTTCAACATCAACGTCTACATGTTTTTCAATAAGAGCTTCTACGATATTACCAAATATGGAATTGAATTCACGTTACCTTCTGCAACCGCTAGATGAAGTACTGTATTTTCATCGTTATTCTTTATGTTCAAGTGTACACCGTTTTTGATCAAGTCTTCAGCAATATCCTCGTGACCTGTGGGAGTTGATTACATGTATGCATGATTCTTTGATTTTCATTGAATAATTATAATTTCAAAAGAGAATGGTTTCTTAAATCAAAATTTACCATCTAAGACGGCTGCATGTAGCGGTTTTGGTTCAATGGGCATCGTAGACGATAAGTATATTTTTAGCACAATTGAAGTGTTATCAACAATATTTGAATTAACTCCAGAAGACTCCGTAAAAGGATTTGTTTCTTTCTTTAAATTTTTACTCAAAATCAAAATCGTATGAAGAGTTCTTCAATCGATTTCGGAAAAATCGATAGAAATTCGTTTCCAAATTAGGCGTTATTAAAAAACACTGGTATAAATGGCACTATAACTTTTGGCACAAAACATTATTATATTCGCATACACAGTGACAGTGCCGCAATCGATAGAAAATTTGCCTGTGTTCTTTTACTTTATTCGCAATGTGTGGGTGCTATGCTCCATCCCATGCTAGTTTTCATTAGTGCAAGTCACAACAACCGAAATTGAGGTTTTTTGCAATGTTTTTGAATTAAATTTAAACAAACAATTAAAAAATGTTGAACATTACTGCATACGATTACTCCAAAATAGCCAGAAACATCGAAGTCAATAAAACAACAAGCACGTAAGTAGACGTGTTAGTTTCGAGGTAAACAGATAAAATATAGACGTAAGAAGATGTGCAAACGTAAACAAGTCTGGGCAACGATTAAAAGGCGCAAGAATCAAAAGCGTAATACATTGTATTGAATACAGTTGAATTTACTCAGCTCATAATGGCTCATAACTTGTTATTGTGGTCTTTTCACATCAACACTGTTATTATATAATTAAATTAGTTATGGCATGTGATGACATGTTCATTTTTTATACTATTTTGGCACTAATTATCACTTGAGCAGCCATAAGTACCCTACCAGACGACATAGGCATGTGGCATTAGCTTTATTTTTCAGCTAAGAAGCTTTTTTATTTTCTAAGCTAATTAGATCATAGCGAATATTTTAATACCAAAATCTGCCGTATTGGGGAAAAAAAGTATACTTTTCCGTGTAGCGCGAATAAAACCGCAAATCAAGCGATCCGCCCAATTACATTAAAAGAAGTAGAACAATTGTGATGGAATATGTTCTGAAGATGATAATTTTATGAAAATCTGACGTACACAGAAAAAAAAGTTGTTTGTACGATCAGCTCTTGGTCTAATATAGATATTTGCATGTAATAGGCCAAAAATACTCAACAAATTGATCATTTTTGGTACCAAAGAGTGATTTTGAGCCAAAAAGGTAGATAAAACATGATTTTTCTGGATTAATATGTTGAGCAAAGTGGTCCAGTTATACGTTGGCTACAAAATTGCTGAAGATAGTGGCCATAAAAATTGGATACGCTGCGAGTTATGGTTGAAAAATGGTAAAAAATGGGTATTTTTGCGATTTTGAGGCCCTAGATGCATTTTTTTGGGGTAAGTTTTTTTTCTGCATTTTTTTTCCCATTCAATACCTACAACTTTGCTGAAGACACAAAAGCAATATTTCTTACGGTTTACTGAGATATAGCCGTCTCAAAATATCGAAAAAGTGCTCAAAATCCAGTTTGAGCAAAAAATAGGGGAATTATGTGTAGGTTGATCCGCACCAATCATTTTCGTCATAACTTTTTATGGAATAAAGATAAATGCACACTTGATATACCATTGGAAAGAGAGCCAAAAAAGCTACAATTTGATTAGGAAATTCATTAGCTATGGTTGTAAAAACAAAATATTTCGGTCAATTTTCTAAGAGGTCTGATTTTTGGCAACAAAATTTTTTCTTTGTAACTTGAAACACCCTATTTTTTCTAGAAAAACATGCAGTATAAACACTCAATATATGAAATTCATTGAATTTCGTTGGATTTGCAATCGTTTTTGGTCTGTACAACTACGAAAAACAATGAAAAAATGTAGAAAAATATAGAAATTGTAAAAAAATACATATTCTCTATTTTTTCATATTTCATCGATTTTTTCGTTTTTTCAAGTCCAAAAACGATTGGAAATTCATTAAAATTCAATGAATCTCGTATATTGAGTGTTTACGCTGAATAGTTGTCTCATTTTTCTGATTTTTTTTCGGGTGGGTCAACTTATAAAATTGGTCGACATTTCAATATGCACGGAAAGAATTTCGCCATGTAACGATATGTGTGAAATGACTTAGGATTATGAAAATACACGAAAAACTAGTGAAAAAGCTTATACTCGCTTTGCTGATATCTTTGAAATTGTCTACTTGATGATGGTCCGAAAAAATTTAGTTTTTATAAAAATGATTTTTTTTTGCAAAAAATTTTTATGAGCCCATCCGAGCCGTTTAAGAAGCGTATTTACTCTTTGGAACTACTTTTATATTGGTTTTTGACGTTTCTAAATCGATTGAGACTAGCCAAATTGACGATTTGTCGGTCAAAATACAAAATCGGCGGGGTGGGACAAAGTGGGTCAACTTACACATACTCCCCCTACATAATTTCATTAAAATTCAACAGTCAACCAAGTTGTCAAAACGAATGATGCAGAATTTCTAGTTTTGGTAAGTACTTTCAGCAGCGATTCTCAAAAGTGAGTCCCTCCATTATGTGTTGCACTGTGTTATTCCCTTTTCTTGAAGTTCATCGATTTGTCCAACTGGTCAAACGTGAAATATGTATTCAATGTATTCACAAAAGCTGCTATGAAAACTTTATTCATACTTTAGAGATTGCAATAATAACAAAGTTCTTAATATGTTTTCGTATTTTTCAAACCTATTCAGAAGAAATGATTCTCTACTCATGCCTGACATATTCATCGACAAAATCATCTAAAAACAAATGCTTGGTTAACGTTTTTGTGGAGTGTACAGCCGAAATGCATTGAGAAATGAATGAATTCAAAATGTAAGGGGGAAAAACGTTACAAAACCTTTCAATGGTGTGAAAGCAACTGCACAAAGGATGCATCTTGAACCTATCAAAATTTGTAAATTCCAACAACAACGATATAACCATAAACGGAATACGCCTAAAAATAGTCAATAGTTGTGTGATCATTTGCACCAGGGCTGAATTATGAATACATTTTTGTTATCATTCTAGTTCACAAACATCAACGTACCTGTGGCCTTATATACCCATGCATTAGATGCCAAGTGCTCAGTCTATATCCGGTCGTTGAAGAGTTAACTTGAATCTAACTGCTTGAATATTTTTCGGTGTGCCATTCGAACTTAGCAAATTTTTGTTTATACTTGAATTATCATACAAGTTATAGTTTAAAATGGCAAAATTGGGATTGTTGTTTGTCGCTGTTTTCTGCGTCGTTCAAGTGAGTTTCAACGAAGAAGATTGTGCTAAGCTCAAATCTTTCAATCTCAATTGAAATTTTTATTAAATCAATCTGAAAAAGTAACTTGCGTTTACACTTCAATATTCAATTTATCCACAAACACAAAAAAACAATAATTTGATAAAAGAATTGATACGTGTATGGAAGTTCAAATGTGTGAATTGAATCCACAATTGTTTTGTGTTTGTTTTTCATATTATTCAAATTTGCTATGACGTCGTTGATTCGATCGTAGACGAAAAGTCGCTAAAAATCATTTTATCTTATGCTCTCTGCATTACTTGCAAAATCTCCGAGACTATAGAATACGCAAATGACTTGAGAATTGAAACAAAGTGATCAATACCCATATCAAATTGATAGACGTGTGTTTGCTTGGGTTTTTTGCTGTTTTTCACTTCCTTCGGTAATGGCACGTTTCCTCGTTTACGATCAAGGGCATTTAAGTGAATTTGCTTAACGTGTCACGGTTTAACGCTCAAAATATGCTGTGAGATTTATTTTTCGTGTTCATGTTAACAATACAAAAGGAAACGAATGACATTAAAATTGGTTGTCCGGCTCTTTTTATCGATTTTGAACAAATAGATGATTCGTTTGTACTTACAACAAAAACCATGGCTTTTTTATAACGTCGGAATGGTGATTCAATTCATGTGCGATGATTCACGTGAGTCAAGCCAAACAAAGCTGAATGGAATTATTATAAGAACAAAAAAAACGGCAAATTTTATTGAGAAAAAAATTGGGTTATTGTTTACAATTTTTGAAGCTTGAAGTTTCATTTTGTTATTTGATGAACGCTATTCATATGATTACACTGTAGTAACATTTTACACTTTTGAAATGTACGGTTCAACACATGAAAGTCAGATTTTAGTTGCTGGCGAG